TTCTTATTAATATTCTATGCAGAAAAGTAAATACTTATAATCCTCATTTTCTCTTTATATGAAAAGGTCAGGCCTTTAGCAATGAGTTTATCTATTAGTGTTTTGTATTTGTATATTTAATACATAATATCTTTGTTTATTATTATATTGAGGCCTTAATATATCATCTATAATTTTTTATATATCTAGATAATGTGATATTTTTCATGTTACCAGTACTTTATAGAAAGTTAATCTATTAGTTTTTGCGATAATAATAATATCTCATACTATTGCTACATAAAAGTTGAACCAGGTATTTCTTTTGTATAGTTTTTATATACTTTGTATATTGAAGGCTATGAATTTTCAGATATATTTATATGTATTGTAATTAGTCTTAATATTATATGTCATATTATATATTGTATTAGTGGTGTTGTTATTGTTGTTTGTAATTTTGGTATGCATTTTTTGAGGAGAGTTGTGGACTTGGTTATCCTTTGGATCTATATTTTAAGTTTCTAAATCATTTTTATTGTGGTCTATAGATTTATTATAATTATTGCTATTACTATTGTAGTTCATCTTATTTATAATTATTGATTATTATGTGTCATACTTCCTCTATTTTTTGGAATAAGATTTGATATAGTACTAATTAGAGCAGTCATTGTCCAGTCTATATTACCAATTGATATTTGTAATTAATATCATTGTTATTGGATATTATATATTGAACTGTTTATCTAATATTAGTTACTGGTTTTCTGAATTTCTTATGAATTTTCTTATATATTGAAGTTGTAGTTTTCATTCCAATTCTTGAGTTTCATAATTCTTTTATCTAATTCTGTTACTATATAGGATTTGTTGAAGTGGTTTTTCTATTTTATTCAATATTGATCAGGTTTTACTTTTGATTTGATTGCTAGTATATAAAAGCCTAGACTTGTAGATTTGATATTATTTTTTTTCCACTATTCTTCTAATACTGTGATTTTGATAAGTCTAAAGTATATGTATAGTTGGCTGAATCTTTTTGTTTGTTCTTGTTTATAGTTTTATCATTATTGTCTTCTTTATTTAATCTAATAATCTTTTGCTAAATGTGAGGTAGTGTCACAAATAGTACATAGTTTAGTGTCTATTAACTGCTATTTAACAGTTGTTTCTTCAAGAATAAAGTTTTTTACAGTTGATTACTGCAGATAATATTCATTTTAAAAGCTGATCACTGTGAAGCACTTGTATTTGCAGTTTATTCTTCAAAGAATGTAGCATGTTTTACTTCTTGTTTATTGCATATATGTCTTAGGTCAAAGGCATTAGTGTCTGGTGATAGATTGATAAGTTTTAAAGAAAAGCAATCTCTGTCTTTTATTTGTTGTAAGGACCATCTCAAGTCATAAATCCTGAGCAAGTTTATTTTGCACTGGATGTACCAATTTTCTAGAAGTTTATATTTATCAGTATTTTCTGTATATGTAATAGTAACTAATTGCCACATGTGTTGTGTTAAAATTGAAATGTTGCTAATCTGGTCATATTTTGCAAAAAAATCTATTGTATGTTATAAAAGGTTGTGTTCAGGAGATGTCACAAGCTGCAAGACTGTTAGTCTTATTGCTTTTATTTCTTATATCTGACATGTGTTTGAGTATCAGATTATCCATTTGCAGTAAATATAATGTTGTAAAGGTCAGGTTTGAGCTGTAAATACTGCTGATCTTGAAATGACCCATAGTACTAAATTAGGACCATAAAAACCATGGGTCTATTTGATTCATTACTTGTTTGATTTATTACTGATATACTTTTAATTACATAATTAGATCATAAAATTCAGTGGTTTTTGATCTTATAATAATGAAATGAAAATAAAAATCATATAAATAGATTTGTGCAAAAAATTTAATTTTTTATAAAAAAAATTGAGTTTTCTAATATTGAAAGTGATAATGATACTATTAATAGCTTTTCTGATGAACTAGATGATAAATAAATATATGATGAAAATTCTATTGATATAGTACTTGAAAGTTAAAAATTAACAAACAAAACTTCAATAAGTCAAGATTCAATTAATGAAACTTCTGTATGTAATATAATGGAAAATTCGTCAATAGAAGAAATTTCAACAAATTATATAACAAAAACTTCTTTACCTATATGGACAACTGAAATCCTTTTTGTTGCATATATAAATATTTTTCAACAAAAAATTTTCAACTTCAACATTACAACAATATTTACAAAGATAACATTTATAAAAGCAATTAATTTATGACCAAAAAGGCTTCAAGTTTTCCATTCAGATCTATACAATGAAAATGACAAAACAATTGAGATAATTTATTATTAAACTGGATTATATGCACTCTACAAGCCTTTTATGTTATAGATAATAGATATTTTTATGCTATAATTCACAAATTTAATTCAAGATATTTAATACCTAATTGAGCAAAAGTTAGAATTTTAATTATGAATCAATTTGAAGAACAAAGAAAAAGACTTATGAAAAATTTAAATAAGCTTTCAACAAAAATTGCTCTAACAATGGATATGTGGATATAAATATAAAAAGAAGCTTTTATGAGTATAATAATTCATTATCTTAATGATCAATAGAAACCTAAAAGTTTTTTATTAGGTATAATTTACTTTACAACACGATATACTGAAATTAATATGGAAAATGCACTTTTATTATTACTTGATGAATTTTAGTTAACTAACAAAATTATTGGATTAACAACTGATAATGCATATGCAATGGTTACATATAGTCATGAAATGGCTAAAAAATTAAATCAATCGGCAAATAATTCTAATTTTGATCATTATCATTGTGTAGTATATATTATTAATCTCGTGGTTCAATAAGGACTTGAATTAGTTAGTTTTTTAGTAAACAAAGTTTAAATTTTATGCCAAAAATCAAAAATTTGACAATATTTTGCAATGAACTTAAAGCATTATGCAAGATACAAGGAATTAAATACTTAAAACCTGAAATAGATATTGAAACAAGATAAAACAATACTTTTTATATATTAGAAAAGTTTAAAAATAATGAAACAGCTCTTCAAATGCTAATAGTAAATTATTCAGATCTGACTAATGAATTTTCAAATGATTCTGATTGGAAAAGAATAGACAATATATTAACCTTGCTTAGTCCAATGGAAAAGGCAACAAAATTATTATTTGTTACAAAATATCCAACTTTGAGTCTTATATATTGAATATTTTTTAGTATAAAAGTTTTTTTAAATCAATATAGTGAAAATAAGTCTTTTAGTAAATCTCGGATGGCTTTTTCTATGCTACAAAAAATTGATAATTATTGGAATATAATAAGTGATTCATTAATAATACTGATAATACTGGATTCTAGATACAGGCTTGTAGATTTTCCAGAAGGAGAAAAAACTATTTCAGCAATTAATACAATTAGAGCAACAATGGATTTATATTTTTTTTGACAAATCACTAAATCTATCTGATGATATAAGTATTACAAATAATAATTCAGAAAATTTACAAGATTTTTTCGCTATTTTAGTTAGAAATGATAATCAGATTCAAAAAACCAATAAAAAAAGAACAAATAATGAACTATATTGATATCTTGCAAGTTCTGTCTCTTCTGAAATGGATTCACTTATATGGTGGTATGCATATACTTTAAAATTTCCAATATTAAGCAAAATAGCTCGAGATTATTTAATAATACAAGCTATGAGTGTTCCATGTGAAAAAGCATTTTCAATTTCTGAAAATACTATTACAAAATGAAGAAATAGTTTGAATCCAGAAATAACAAAGCAAGTTTATGTTTAAAGAGTTGGATAGACAAAAATATTAATTATATAGAGTAAGAAAAGAATAGTTTTTATTCAAGTATTATGTGCAAAATATTTTAAATAAATGCACTTTATTTTCTTAGCAAATTTTTTTATATTACTATTATCTATTTTGAATCTTATATATAAAAAAATAAGTTGTGTTGCATAACGTAATCTGTATACATCAAAGTATAAAAACATGAACTTGGATAATTGAGCTTAGTAGTTCAAGGACTATAAAAAAAAAGTAAAAATAGTATATAAATGAGAATAAGACTTAACTTCTAGACTAGAATTACAATAAACTTTTATTCTTGTTTTTTCACAATATGTTTTAATAAAGAATCTTATAATTCACCTTAAAGACAAGTGTTTAAACCTGTGTACCTCTAAAGGAAATGTAGCAGAAAAGATTATACTATCTTGTATTGCCTGTGAATAAGAAGACTGTGAATTATCACTCTGCCAAGTCTAAACACATCTAAGCGAGTTAAAGCCTTACTATTAATTAAAAATACCTGATGTGTAACAAATAGATTTTTCGGGTTAGCGACTGATTCTTCATGCATTACAATACTAGTTTGTTGATTTTTTAATGCTAAATATTAAGAATATAATATTTATACTTAACTATATATTTTTCTTATATGTAGATGTAAACACTATAAATGAGACCATGGGACAAACCGGGTCTTATTTGACCTGACCTATTACATCATCAATTTGCCCTGACCTGACTTGGCTTGACCCATTACATAATTATAACCCGACCTGACCTATTATCTTACTAACCTGACTCTGACCCGATTTGACTCGACCTATTACAACACTAAGTAAATGTACAGCATGTTACTTCCTTAGCTAATTGTGGGTTACTAAAAATGGCAATAATAAACTCTAATTATCAGATTTCTTGCTGTAATGCTAATTAGGCCTTTAGGTAAGTTTCAAGCCTTGGATACATATGCTATCTTGTGGTATATGAGTTTGTCGGGAACTTTTCTGGCCTGTATACCTAGTTTTGTCTTTTTGCGCACCTATCTCATGCTTCTATTAAAGGGGGATCTTGAATGGGGTTTGCTGCCTTGTGGAAATACTGTATTTCTGCTCTTTCTTTTGTTTTTCCCTTTGCCTGTTAGGAGGGTCCAATCTTCGTGCCATTTGTTGTCATTTCTGGCTTCTTCCTCTCAGCTGGTTTTGTTTTCTTCTTTCAGTCTCATCTCTGTGTCTGAGTCCATCGGGTCCGTAGTTGTTTGTGGAGTGTGGGGGTGGGCCTGGAGTTTTATCACCATTCCGTGAGTTTCGCTGTGCCTGTTTTGCCGTTTGCCAGGGCAGCCTCTTCTTCAAAGCTATCACTCCAAGAGGAAGGGCCGAGGTTATTTGTTCCTATGTTGGCTTGGAGGCTGCAGGCCAAAGTTGCTGCGTTTGGGAAGTGGTATGTTCAGTTTCTGCCGGGTTTTCTTACACCGGACTTGCAGTTTTCTCTGCACTGCTGGGCTTCTTCTCTACCTTTGTATGTCTTGTTGTGACCCTGGGACCAACCTGGCTCCTTGCCAGAACTTCCTCATTGCAGTTTGGGCAGGTGGTTGCATTGAGTTCATTCTTTCTCATTTGTTTTCATGGGGCCGGTGGATGTGTTTACTGTGACACTGATGTGGGTTCATAAAAGATATAATACAGAAGTAGATAAAATAAAAAAGCAATATGAATCAGTAATCGTAGACACTTCAAAAATTAAATATGGTCAATGGCATAAGAAAAAGTCAGGATATATCTATCGTAAAGAAGCATCTTACTGAAATATTAATCATAAAGGTTCATTAGGTTTTCCACCAAGTGAAGCACCACCTCTTTCAACTGATCCAAAATTAATTGACTTGCGAAAACCCTACTTAGTAGATCAGTGAGGGAGTGGGAAAACGACACAAGCTATCTGCGCATTACCCAATCGAGAAATTTTAGTCCTTACTCCAGAGAATTTGCTTGCTGAATATCATAGAAAACAAAATCCAGGGTTAATCGCTAAGACATATAATAAGTATTTCCATTTGGGAGCAACTGCAATCGATGAATGGGATCCAGCATGCCTCGGAAAAAAGACACTTGCTGAAATTTTAATGAAGCATTACAGAGAGATTATCTTATGCTGAAAGCCGAGGCTGTCAAATAATTATGTGTGGCAACCCAGGTCAACTTATACCATGAGGTAACAAAAAGGTCATACGTTATTACTTGAAAGTTGGCGCTTAATTTTAAAGTTCGACGATATTTTCAACAATTACAAAGATTTCATACACATAGAAGGGAATTACAACTTAGTTGGATACATGTCTAGATAAATGATTTCTCAGTGATCTTCAGTTATATCTTAAATGGGGTAAATGGAAAAATCGTGCTCGAAATTCTGAGCAATTAATTTTAAATTTGAATCGACAAATTTTTGCGTTACAGAATAATAATCCAATATAGCAACTATGCTAGGAAGTCCACTACCTATATTTAGCGGTGTACCTGGAGAAAATATTGAAGACTATAGAGATTTAAAAAGATATACAATTGCGAGTCGAATCAATGTAGCACCTGAGGCAGGACAAGCTGGCGGAAGAGCTGAATTGGATGGTTTATATGAATCATGCTTACCTGGTGATGCGTTAATCTGGTATACAAATGAACACAAAGACCGAAATTATCAACTTGATAATATTCTTGACAATACAGGAGTAGCAAATGTAATAGCATTCCGAGTATCAAATAATGGGGGATTAACTGGTATTAATGCTAATCAATTTCGTGGGGAAGCTTTAGTAGTTCGGAATAATGCTGGTGGAGATAATACAATTACAATTATACAAGGAACTATGTTTGTTCAACAATTTGATCCAAGTTATGAAGGATTGGTAAACTTGCTAGAATGACTCCTTCACAAATTCGTGAACAATGGTTAAAAGGATTATCACCAATGAATCAATTTACTCTTCGTTCTAGTGTATGTTTTTCCAGACAATGGATGAGTAATTAAGAAATCTGGCAGAGCTCGAAGCATATGCACTTAGTCAAGGTAATATATCTCAGCAAGTAGTACAACAATCAGCTTCAGTTTGTAATCAAAATCCTATAATGCAACAACCAGCTCCAATAATATTATCACTAGTTTGACAAAAACCTAAACCTCGATGTCAAAAAGTTACAGGAGTTGCTAAATTTACCATAGATGAGAATGGAAATCCAATATCTCGAGCCAGACCAAAAAAGATTGCACCTAAAATGCCACCAAAGGATGCAGAAGAAATTCTTGCCTATAATAAATTAAAACTTATACTAGATGCTGGTTATTCTGATTTTGATGAATTTTTCAAAGTTTGTGATAATTATTTTAGATCAAAAGCTCGTTCATCCAATAAACCACAAGTTCCACCCAAGCCAAAAAGATTAACTAAGGCTCAGAAAAAACAAAATGACAACAAAAATGACGAAATACTAAGTGATATGGCTTCTAGATGGTCTCAATGATCCAGTATCAAATCTTGCCGAATATAATGAAGATGACTATGAATTCGAAGAAGACAATAACTGTGAATATTAAGAGAATGGAATATTCTGAAAATTATAATAATTTAGATAACTATGAGAATTGTTATAAAAATGATTAAGAAAATTTTGCTTGTAATGCTGAAAGACCAATACATGGAAATTCTCGATACTCTCCTATAAAAAAAAAAAGTGACACGTGGTTTTAGAAGTACTGCTTCCTCAAATCAAAGTTTAAAGTCAGCTTTAGTATCATGTCCAAAAATGAGCAAAGAGAACTTGCACAAGCTAGAATGATCAGGCGTCAAGCTACAGATTCTTTGGCAATAAAGCAGTCACAGGAATGACCACACAAATACATACTATGGATCTTTTAAAAATGGTATGCAATGCAAATAGATTTCCAAATCCGAACAACATTTCCGTCCAATGTTTTTTGTACGACTCGTTTAGAACTATCATGACCATGATTTTAAATACTCTATGTTGAGAATTTTCTTTCGGAGCCACCCATTCCAAATTAATAACTTGATTATCATGTCTGATCCAGTTAATATGGTTAACGTAAGGCTTCTTTTTCGGGTTAGGAATGAACACTTGAATATCCAAAATACGTATATACTGTACATGGGTGTTTTTACGTAAACCATTAATATTAATTTGAGTTGTTACATAACCACTCCTTTTGTGAGTATCTGGCCTTAAGATCATATCTTTTTTATTCTTGAGGTGTCCAAGACTAGAAACTAGTATATCTTCTATCGGCATCCAAAATTCCATTATGATGCTCGTTATTCATAATATTCACTTTTTAAATTGAGCTTACGCTTTGATAGATTCTTCGCCCATTGCCAGTTTCCCATCAGCCATCACAAGATTAACAGTCGAATACATCGTCTAAACAAACCATAGAGAAACGTATTTCGCCGGATGAAGAACCTTCCTCAACTATCGTAGAACCCCAACCTCATCATCTAAACGTGCTAGGGAAGAACCTTCCTTTCGAAAAATCCTTTAGCAAAAAAGCTAAAAAGTCAGCGAAAAAAAGGATGGGGTTTCTTTTGTGTTAAAAAAACTTATCTGAGAACCAAAACCAAATCATCTGAATTATTTCCAACTATATAAGAAAGTGATAGTACTCAAAAGGAGAATGCTACAAATATTCCGTATTTATGTTCCAAACTCATTAACGCAGAAGCTCGATTATCAATGTATGGAAGAGACTTACAGATCGAAAACGCAACCCATTAACTGAAGAAGAGGCAAGTAACATTAACTCGATTATCGAATCATTTTTAAAACGTAAAATTGATAGGTACCAGCAAAAAAAAACCGTGATCCAAATTATATACCAAAATTTTTTGCTAGTTTATCTTCAGATAAAGAAAAATTATATAATTAGAACTTCTGCTAACAAAGCCAATGCACTTGTGCACAGCTCTGATATAATCGAACAAAATTTAGACCCAGTAGAATGACCGTACAGAATACGTAGATTTCCAAATATCACTTATTGTATACTGCGGAAGAATTTGATGCACGATTAAAAGAAGAAACTGATGCATTGCGATTAAAATTTATTAAAGCTCCAAAGCAAATAATAGAAATTAGTAATGCTTTAGCTCGCAGAAATTCTTTATTAGGTATTGAAACAATAAAAAGCTGGATTCGAGATGGAAGTATATATGTTTACATTCATGGACTTGAGATAGAATATGAAAAGATTATTCAGAATGAAAAAATAGAGCAAGTGAGCTAACTTTAATCAATTTTTATTTTGCATGGGCTTTACATGGTTTTTTTTATTGCATGGGTTTTGTAAGGTCTCATTTTTCTTTATATGGGCTATTTTTTCTTTACATAGATTTTTTTCGTAAGAAATGTTGTTTGAGATTTGATAGATATCGAAATGTTTGTAGCATAAGTGACAGGACCTATATAACATATCACAAACTACTGATTTTTTTTTTTTTAACTCCAAACTATATGTCTTGATACTAGCTTCGCTATTCCACTCTTTGGGAACATGCCATTTTTCAGTATCTTATATTGCTAAATTATTGCAAAATTATTGCAAAGCAATGACCCTTCGGGTCTACAAATACGCTCAGGTTGAATTGGTGCCAAATATGTATATCCATCATTACGTATCAGTCATTTGAAATTGATCTTTATTAGTACGTATCTACAATGCCTCCAACTTGTTTAATCCAAGGTCAATAGGATGATTCAAATTTTGATAACTAAAAAGTTACCAGCATTAGTTAAATCTCCAATACTAACAGGTACACCTTTTCTCACCAATTGGAAGCGTTTTCATGCCAGCACCTTTAATCATATATCGTGCTTCTGATCAATATGAAAACCAAGAGAATTAAAGAAATCTCTATCTATCATATTAATATTTGACCCTGTATCGAGAATGCATTTATCAAATTTTACGTTATCAATATCACCAGCAATATAAGCTACAGTAACTTGTAGTACTTCGGATCCTTGTTCAGCAAGATTAGCTATCTGCATAAGTTCAGATGAGGTAACTTCTTTTTCCATAAGGGCTTTTCGAAGTTCAACATGCATAGCAGGGGAGGTAATACTGTACGTACACTTAAAATCACAGGAAATAGTATTTCGGCATGTTATCGGAACAAACAGAAAACTGCCGGAGGATGATGTTGGGTATATTTCGATTATTATGAAAAACAGGATGCCAGCGAAGAATGGAGAGATATAGAGTTTCATCGCTAGGAAGAGGTCAGTTTCCAAATGGTTTGATTTCTCGAGGATCTCTTGATGCAGGATATTTCAGAATCGCTCGAGAAAATCATCTAGTCCATTGCTTAGTCGCATTAGCGTTTTGTCCTAAAGAACAAATCAAAGATCTTGTAAACCATATTGATGGGGATACTACTAATAATAAAGCGTCTAATCTTGAATAGTGCATATAGAAAGAAAACTCTCTGCACACCGTATGTCTCGGAATTTGGGGACACTGTGGCAAACGTTCCGTCAAGCAGATTTTCGATTATGGATCTACTCAAGAATTTCCATGTTAACTGAAGCACAATGCATAACTGGATTAAAAGTCCCAATATCATGAAGGTATGTCAAAGAAAATCTATAACCTATACCTTTAATTGCATAATCGACACGCCCTGAACTTTCCTCATCGATAATTTCTTGTTGTGGTCTCATGCTAAATTCTCTTTTTGTATCATCCCTGACGATATGAAGTGCAGTATGGAGTATTGCAACAACATACTCATTACGCATGGCTTTCAAGCTGTCCGGATATAAAGTCCCGTAGTTTCTTAACCTTTTATTAATTTCCGTGATACATTCTTCGAAATATACATCGTCATCCCGAATTTCTGAGATCGGCGGTTTGAATAATGGAATTGCGTCTATGCTTTCGGGATTCCATATCATATTTCCCAGCACTTCTTTCAAACTGCGGTACGAGGAAAAGACCTCATTTTTTTCTCCTTGACCTCCTTAGCGAAGTTAGCAATTCTTAAGGCAGGCCCCCCCTTCATACCATAGCTACGAAGTTTTTCCTCAGTCTACTTAAGGAATCTCGACTGGTGATCTTCTCATCACGGAAGATTTTGAGATCGTTTTCGTCAAGTTGCAAGTCTTCTTCCCCGCACAAAAATTCGATGAGCTTTTCTGTATTTAACTTTCTAAACACCTCGGCTAAAGTGGGAGCTTGCTTTTCTTCGTTCTCATTGGAAGCGTTAGCTGGTGTTGAAGTGTCCGACATAGCAAATTATATAGTATTTTTGCGAAATATATTTGCTATTGTTAGGATAATAGGTACGAAAAAAATTTTTTATCGACTGATTAAGTGAGTGGTCGTCCTAACTAACATAAGCTATATTTCGACTGACTTGCGTCGACTATGTTTGTTATATATTTATAGTGAAAAAATTATTGATCTCATAAAATGAGAATATGCTTCCTTTTTTTTTGAAAGCTGGTTCAGCCTTACTTTATTTGGATTAAGTAGAGATGTACATATGTGGTTTATGCTAAGACTACCTGTTAACCAAATTCAGTTCGATAGAAATACTTCACCTTGTGACTTGTTGCCACCCTATAAGGAAGCTAACCTGCCAAGGATGGGCTAGTGCTGTATAAAATTTTGAAAATGTATGAAGAGTGTGTGACGTTCGTGTTGTATTTCCTGATATAGCTATTGACCAAATCAATATATTGATTTTTGATATGTTTTTCCATTTCGTCGAGCCAGTCGTATTTGGTTGGTGTGCTGTATTTGGAGGTTTTTTCAAACTTTCTAGTAATTTCTTGTTGAGTTTTCCATTTCTAAAAGTTTGCACATCTTGATTTCCAGATTTGGTAGATGTATTAACTCATCTCTTGTTTGATCTCCTTAAGTCAGCAGAACCTGCTTTATTTGTTTGAGATGCAGTATGTTACTATATGATATGTCTCTTGTAGGATTGCACCTTTGATTGTGGTCTTGAGATATTCAGTGTATTATAAGAATATGTGGTTTCTGTATTTGGAGATCTGTGTTTCAAGATCTTTTATCATATCATAATATCTTAATTTCTTTCTAGGCATATAAAGGGGTAGGTATTGATATTTTTCTCTCCACATTTAATACATTTGTTATTTGTGTATAGATTTGATAAACATGAGTGGAGTTTAACTTTGATGAGTAGTTCTTCATTTCAGAAACACAGGTTAAATTTTTTTTGTTACTGGTCTTTCTAGTTGATTTGTTGTTCACTTATTTGTGTTAGTTACAATAGGGATACTATTATTTATCAATAAATTTCTCTGATGATTCTGTCACTGAATTCAATTCTTGTTCTATTGAGTAACTTCTATCTTACAAGGTGTATAGCTTTCATAAGTTCTTGAGTCATTTTTTTTATAGAGATATCTAAGATTTGTTTTCTTATTGTAGGATAAGTATGAATTGTAGGTTTTATATAGGGTGAACTTAAATATTCTTTTTTTTTTTATCTCATTTCCAGTTTTATATTTACCTTTGCCAGTTGGTTTGCATAGTCATTGTGTTTAAGAACTTATTCAAATATGTTGCATATAGGTCTTTTTTGATTGTTTGAGTAGTTGATTCTTGTTTGTTATATATCATTATCTGTAAAAGGTATTCTTTAAGTATTGTACTAATCAGATTGAATAAGACTCTGCTTTTGAGTCTAATAGTGTCTACTGTATTGATTCATGTCAAGTTTCTATTTTATTGATAGGAATTGTTATAATATCTTATTTTGAGATACTAAAAGTATATGGATAGATTGATTATATATCTTAATTGATATTGCATTCTATATATTCTATTAGTGAAGATACATTGAGTTCTTAAATATAATACCTGTATATAATTTTGTTGGTGTCAATTATTTTTTGTTTTCTTTCAATTACATTTTATTGTTAATTTCTATTACAATCCAATATAGTTTTGCAGTATTTGTTTTAATTATAAATATATATTAAAGAAATAGAGTAATTTTGATTTATTGTTAGGTATTTATTATCTGCAACTAGTTTTGAAGTTACTGTTAAAGAGTAAAGAACCAAATTAGGGTTAGGTCAGATAGTATTTTGTTATACAGTCTAATGATTTGATAATATTTAAGAGATTTTTTTCTATTACTGTTTAAGAGTTGTCCTATAAATATAATATAATGCTATTTTAGATTTGGACAGATTTTCTTGTAGAATTCTAGATCTATAATATCTTCAATAGTGATATTAGCTTCCATGATAGTTTTAATATTATTGTATTATATTTTTTGAAAGGTAAAACTATATATACTAAGCAGTTAGATCAGTTATAAGTAATGATAGGTCCTTAAAGTATTTAGCATATAAAATTTTGTAAATCACTTATATTCCTTTTTGAAGAACAAAATTAATAACTCTTCACTTTAATAGGAACAAAAGTTAGAAAATGCTATATATCAATAATTTGAATAATAAAAAACAATTGTGGATAGTTTTTTTAAAATTATTAATTTAAAATTTTTAATGTTTTCCTGTGAGAAACATTTGATTTATGTCTCTATCTCCCCCTTTAGGGACCTATCTTTAGTTATGGATAAAATTTTCACCTAGTTCAAAGAAGGGAACCTGTATACTATTATAGATTTTTTTGATAAACCAGTATATATTCTGTACTACTTGGAGTTAGTGTCTTGCAAAAACCCTGTGATGTTTTGTTTATTGATCCTAGTATACTACCATAAACCACTACATACAATACCTCTCCTAAAGTAATACCTCTCCTTAAATAATATCCAATAGTATTCAAGAAAATTGGTACTCAGTAAATAATTACTACCTGTATATATTAGGCTAGAGCCAATAAAATTGCAATATGAATGGGCAAGTGAGAGATACATCAAATGATAATAAAACACTAAATATCCTGTCATTTATACTACCCTCCTTCTAGTAGAATACCTCCCTGGGTACTAATTAATTTATCATAGGATAAATTGATTAATATCCAGGGTATTGTATGCAGTGGTTTACGGTAGTTATTGATATGTAGCTGTATTTGTCTATCTCATATGTACATTATATAATATTCATGTTTATTGTATAGTATGTTATTTGAGTCATATTTGTAAGATTTATCTTATATTTAAAGATAGAGACTATCTTGCTCATCAGTTTATTACATATCTATCTTGTTAGTATAATGTTATTGCATAAATATTCAATACTAGATATTAGTATATAATTGATTATATATTGAGTTTACTTGTTAGTAACTTTTTATTTTATAAGAAATTTCTGATAGTCTTTTCATCTTGAACTATCATACTATATTTCTAGAATTCTAACTGGTATATTAGAATGTCACTCTTCAATTCTTTGATTATTCATTATAACTTCTTATTAAAAATTTTCTTCAGAATCATTGATAATTATTAATTGTAATTTTTGAAAGTTGACTTTGATGTTATTAATGTAGTAGAATTCTTTATCAGTGTGAATAATTCTTTGAAGATCTGCTCTACTATTTATATTTATATTATATCATCTATGTATATACTAACTATAATATTAGTTAATTTTTTTTTCTATTCAAGTTTGAGATTTGAGTATACTTCAAGTTTATTGTATAACTCTTGTATCAAAAAGTGATCATGCTCAATAGTGGATTATAAAAGATTCTTCAGAGTATAGAAAAAATAGTATCTTATTGATCTATTGCATTTCTGACTTGGTAGTAGAAATTGGATTATAACAAGTCAAAACTTTGTTTTTCAGTACTGAAAAATATTAAGAAGAATTTTGATAATTTGATCTGATATTTTGATTTTTTGGAGTGCTAGCTTTAGTATATTGAAATTGACTAAGTTGTATATCTTTGACATGTTCTGATTAAGTATTCATAACTATTGTTTATATTCTTTTGTGTATTTTATTATATTATTAAATATGTAAATCAGATCTTGTGTACTATTACTCAGAAAAGCTGTTTAGTTTGATTCTGATAATATGTTATCTTTGATTAGACATTTTGCTATTCTTATATAATAATTTTTATGAAGATTTTTCTTCTTGTATTTAACAATATGATTGGTCTAATAATATCAAAATTATTTATCAAATCTTTTAATTTTGATATTAAATATATATATTCTCTGTTTCATTCTTTTGGGGTATTTTCTTACTTGATAATGGTATTGAAAATTTGTTATAACTCTTTTTTGGTTCTTGTTTTCAAGTATTTGTAGGATCTAATTTGAGCCTGATATAAACTTGAACTGCATTATTGAAATAGTGTCTCTAATTCTTATATGAAGATCTCTTCAGTAAGGTTTTTGTATATTTTTTTTTTTTTTAAACATGTAACATTGCCTATTTTATTGAGTTTATATATAATTACATGTTACTTTGTCAAGTAAAGATTATATTACAGACATTTTTCCCATATGTCTAATATACATGGTTACAATAAAACCAATTGTTATCTGGTCTAGTGGGTACCCGCCACCATTAGCGGTGGGGCTTCATCTTTAAACCCTTGTGGTATGTTGTTCCTATTGGGAACTAACATGCCTAGACACCATTAGCATGTTCTTTGTAGATTTCGAAGATATTATGGATTCCGTAGAAGATATTGTGTATGAGTTCTATAGGATATACATTTATTTTGTTGGGTGTCAGATCTCTAAGTTCTGTTTTGGAAGAAGATTGTTTATAATTCTTTCTATTTTTTTCCTGTTGATATTCCTTGACCTTTTTCCCAGTGGTATAGGCACTCATACCTATTGATCTAGATATTGTACATCCAGAATCTGATAGTATTGCAAATGCTATTAACAGTCTCTGCTATTTTGTTAGGTTTAATGTATTTGCTGATAATCTTTAGAACAGTTTTGCTGATGCCTCCCATGATAATTTTGTTCCACATATTGTTTACTACTATATTTGATATGAGTTCCTATCTGATGTTGCAAATGATATTGTTGTTGATTCTTGTTGTTATTTCTTGGTGTATGGTGTTCAATGTGACTTGTTCAATGTCGATGCTATGAAATGAGCATCGGAATAGATAGATATAGTCTTCTGTATGTGGGCATGCAAAGCATATGTCTGACTTGTAGATGTCAAGGCTTTTGATGTAAAGTTTGTCCATTGTGAGAAGCTCTTTGTTTCATAGTTTGAGTGCAAAACTCCTTTGTGAGTGGTCTCATGAGTCTATTATATTGAGATTAATGGCTGATGTGTGGAGTCTCTGTGCTGTTTCCT